AACGGTACAATCCCGGGCAGAAGCTGAACCTGAACTTTGCTGCCGATCCCCCTCCTCTACCGGAAGGCGTCACCGAGGAGATGATTGAGGAGTACGAGGGGGAGGACGCCCCGGAAGATGCCGGTGATGTCGATGGCCCCGCTGCCGAAGACGGCCCTGCTGCCCCAGAAGATGCTTGAACTAGGGATTTTCTTTATTTTATTTTGTTTTGTACGTTTAATTACCGTTGGCAACATTTCCGAACGCCTTAATGCCGAGGGCATTTTTAATTTAAGTAATATTTTGTTTTTATCACTTGTGTTTTTATGTTTGAATTTTATCCATGCTTGCTACTGCCGTAGGCTAATAACTGCGTAGGACAATCATTCTTGCCAACATACAAGTGTCGCAGATATCGGTAGGGACAAGGCCCCAATAGCCCTTTTTCTATAGGGGTGCCGTGGGCAAGTCCTAGGTACTGATAGTTGAGTAGTGGTGTGTAAGAGCATAGCTTTCGATTGCCGTAGGCAACGTTGCCGTGGCTCATGTTGATGAGCCCTACCGAAACAATTTGCTTGAAAAATTACCGATAGGCTATAACGATCTGGATGATCTTGTTTTTATATATATAAGTGCCGTAGGCAAATAAATACAAATTCCGCCATGCCATTGGCTAGGGGGCTTACTTAAAATAACTCTTGAGATGTTCCACATTCCATGGGTGACCGAGGGTCTTCCCGTCCGTGCCTCGGAGCCTGCAGGTGCCGGATCTAAGGATGCCGATGACTTCATAGGGACCTTCCCAGGAAGGTTCGAGGGTTCCCTCCGTTGGGTTTTTGGTTGCAAGCGAGACCTTGCGTATAACCCAGTCTCCGATTCTGAAGGAGCGAGGTCTGACCCTTGAGTCATAGTACCGAGAGACGCGTTGCTTGTATGCCTCATTCCGAAGGTTGGCAACCGTTCGGCGTTCTTCGATTAAGTCGAGGCTTAATGAAAGTGCGGTTTCGTTCACCCTTGGCTCGAAACTTTCCGTTCGGTAAGACGATTCGCCGATTTCAACCGGGACGATGGCTTCCGAACCGAATGCAAGGCTGAAGGGGGTCTCCCTAGTGGAGGTTCGCACTGTTGAGCTTCCATTTTAAGAGTTTCTTGATAATTTTGTTCACGGCTTCTACCTGACCATTCGACTGAGGGTGACTTGGGGAGGCGAAGAATAGGTTGATTTTGAGGCGAATGCAGAACTGTCTGAAAAGTTCCGAATCAAACTGTCTTCTGTTATCAGTGATGATGGCATACGGGATACCGAACTGGCAATAGATGTTGGTCCAGACAAATTCCTCGATCCTTGCCGCAGTAATGGTGGCCAGGGCTTCGGCTTCGACCCATTTTGTGAAATAGTCCACCGCAACGACTGCGTACTTAACCTGTCCCTTGCCTTGCGGCATGGGCCTGATCAGGTCAAGTCCCCACTGGGCGAATGGCCATGGGCTTACAATCGGTGTAAGGGGTTCGGCAGGTATGTGTGGAACGTTGCCAAACCGCTGACACTTGTCGCACCTCTTTACCATCGTAATCGCATCCCGATGCATGGACGGCCAGTAGTAGCCCTGCCGGAAGGCTTTGTGGGCCAGGGATTTGGAACCAGAATGATCACCGCAGACCCCGCTGTGGATCTCCCGAAGGACATACTCGCCCTGCTCTTCAGTGATGCATTTCATGTAGGGGGTTGTGTAGCCGCGCTTGTACAGAATGTCGTTGATGACAATGTACTTTGCTGATCGGTAACGGAGCTTCCTTGCCTGAGCCTTTTCCGCCGGGAGGGTACCGTTCGTTAAGTATGTGTATATTGGCGACATCCAAGTGTCTTCGTACCGTACGACACTTATGTCAGCGGTGGCGGTGCTTGGCTGGGTCAATATCTCGACAGGGACTTGTCGGCCGATCCTGTCGTCAATTGCCGAAGCCAATCTAGCTAATGCGTCGGCATGGCTATTTTTCGATCGGGGTACCTGCCGAATTTCGCACGCCTTAAATTGCCGAAGTAATCGATGTGCCGATGATAGGTAGGTGGTCATCGATACGTCTTTTGCCGCGAAATCGGCAGTGACCTGGTTTACGATGAGTTGCGAGTCGCTGTGTATGCTGACTTGCTTTGCTCCCATGCTCTTAGCTAGCCGTAGGCCGGCTAGAAGGGCTTCGTACTCTGCCTCATTATTGGACGTTCGGAAGCCAAATCTGATGGCGTATTCCATCTTGGTTCCATCGGGAGAGGTGAGTACCAGGCCGGCCCCACATCCTTGCTGGTTTGCCGAGTCGTCCACATGCAGGACCCAGATGGGAATAGACAGGTCGAAGCAGCTACCGTTCGGCAGGTCTATCTGTGGAGAGTTACTCCCATGTTCTGGTGCGGCCGACGGTGTTAGCTCGGAGATGAAGTCTGCTACGGCCTGACCCTTCTCGGCAGGTCTGGGTTTGCACTGAACGTCGAACTCTCCCAGCTCGATTGCCCACTTTACCAGCCTACCGGACGTTTCTGGCTTTTGAAAAACCTGCCGCAGAGGCTGGTTGGTCAAGACTATGATAGTATGAGCTTGAAAATAGGGTCGTAACCTTCGGGCAGAGACGACCAGAGCCAAAGCCAGCTGCTCGAGCAGGGGGTATCGAGACTCTGCGCCTTGGAGGGCTTTGCTCACATAAAAAATCGGAAGTTCTGGCTTCTCCGGTATCTGTTTGTGCCTGATGAATCACGGCCATAAGCTGGCCGAAGGAGCCCCTTCTCTCGGCCCTGGCACTTGTTCGTAAAAACTGAAACGCAACGTTTCGCCAGGGTACTTCGCATTCCTAAAGATAAAAGAAGAAATGCTAAGGCATGATCATCTCGGCCTCAAACGCAGGCCGAGCCGAGGCCGAGCAAAATCACGGTCAAGGCATTAAAGGCAAATCATCACGTGACAGCAGGGTCCCAGGCTTCATTTAATGAAGTAGTGCCTGTTTAATGCAGCAAACCCATTGGCCACAAAGAAGCATTTAATGCATGAGGGAAGGTGGGAAGTGACTGAAGTCAGGATTTGGTGATGAGGATCAGAGTGATTAGACGTGGACATTCTCACAAGAATTCTGACAGCCTGAGATATTGGTTTTCCAGCTATCCAGGCCATAAATGCGTCTCCACGGCCAGAAGCTCAGAACCCACGATCAAGAGCGGCAGCCGAGATTCACCGGGATTTCTGGGGTCACACCACCATACTTCACGATCCCAAATGTTGATTGGACTGCCCACTTGCGCTAATCAGACTCCCATATGCGTAAATTCAGCCTCGATTACTCATCCAGGGACTCTTCCTATAAATACAAGACTCGAGCTACATTCAAAGGGTTCAA